CATTCACCTCCTTGCAACTCATCATGTTTCATTATTTTCATATAAACTAAAAAATTATTACTGAAAGCCATGTTCAATCAAGTGTCTTAACTTGCTGAAAAAATTGCGTGCCCTTTAAGTCTTAAGCTGATATGCCACCTGGAAGCCTTGCACTTCTAGAAAAGGAGATTTCTTTTTTTAATTTGTTTGTATTTTTTCAGTAGCAAATAATTTTCTCGATTAATATGTCACTGTCCTACAACTGTTGACTCTTTCTCCTTTGGTTATATAAACAGCAGTTGTTACACATCACTCATAGCCCTCACTATATTTCCATCATTCCTCCCAATTTAAGTTCCCTAGCTCTCCTGGAAGCAAAATGAATCTCCATAGTGTTTATAGTGAAAAGGTTACATAAAAATGAACAGTACTTAACACGTCCCTTTTTTCCTTTCTCCTGTCCCACAAATGGGACTCCACACTGCTGTTTGCTGCTCTCTACATTTGCCTTCTTTCCCCTTACAGAGTTTCTTGGATTTTTTTTTTATAAATATGAAAAGAAAAATATACATTGTTTGATCTCTACCAGGCCATTAAGGCATGTGATGAGCTCACAGAGGAGAAGCTGCTATTTTTCTGTATAAGCTGCAGTCAGCATCTCTAGTTACAACAGCTAATCCCTTGTGCCACAGATGTGGTATCACAGGTCTTAATAGTCTGTGTTAATTCCTCAGTATTTACTTGTGGTTTTGCAATATTCCATTATTTACAGTATTTGTATAGGTCCTTAAATGATACCAAACACGTTGGCTCAAAATGTTTGTGATTGCACTGACTGCAGTGGCATATGCTAAACGTGTATTCGAGTGAGTATCCTGCACTGATGCTGCAACCTTGCCCAGCTGCATACCAGACCCTACTGTCTCAATATGTCCTTCTTACGGCTGAGCGCTACTGGATGTGCAAGAAGCAAGCAACTTAGTCCAAGCCAAGAAAGATCGCTAGTGTCATCTTCACCAGGGTCTTTCGTCGTATACAGACAGAACAGTGTACCACTTCATATAGGGCTACCAGGCAAGGAAGTTTAAATATGAAACAACAGTGCCCTGCTCAGTTTCAAACTGCAGCTCCACAGCGTAAGGAGGCTCTCTGATCCGAGGGCCGTTCACATCGTCTTTGTATTTCACAGTGGAACTCTGCCAGCTTCCCAACAAAAGAAACCTCTCTGCTGCGCAGAGGAGGTGGGAAGATTTTCTCTGAGGAACAGCCACGGCTATCACAGACAAGTAAACAAATCTAAGGTGCTGGGCAGCCCTGGGAGGGTCACCGATGGTCGGTCCCTAATGGTTGGGAGGCTAAGATATTAAGCAAAGAATTGCGCCTTGGCTGAAACATAGCTTTCTTCTGTATTTATTGTTGATTTTGTAGTATATGGGGAAAGAATTAGCAACTAATTTTTGCATAATTTGAAGACTGATTTAGGTTAGACTGGTAGGTGTTATTCTGTGTCTTTGTGGTGTCAGTCAAGTTGACCGCTCTTGGTTTGAAACCCTTTCGTGGAATGACTTTGCAACAGCTGTTTGAACAAAATGGGACCTTCATCTGGGGAAAGCTGTTCTATCAAATTAGCAGCTGTAAGTGACACACCGCAATGAATGGAAGTAAATTTATTTTGTGCTGGCTTTCTTCCCTTTCCCCTCCTCGTCTTTTCCAGTACCCCAGAAGCCCATCGGTAGCAAAACTACTGGATCTTAACTTGCTTGAGGAAGATCAAATGAGTTCACATTTTACTCAGATCAACAATAACGAGGATTATGGCTACAACATCAGAGTGCTGCCTCACCCGTTACACCCTCTTGCATATCTCCCAGCATTGCTTGAATTCTGTACGTTGATTTACAATATAGGCTGCCTTTATAGGGAAGAAGTGCTGCTGCTGAGTGCTCTCCTGCACTAATGAATTTAAATATTAAAATGGATGTGGTCAAATGCATTTTGATTTGCCTCAAGCTTTGCCATGAGATACTTTTGTGGAATAGTACCTGTACTTATCACCTTTAGATTTGCATGTACAGAGCTCCAAGTAATGTTTGGCTAATGTGGTGTTTGTTTTTTTGACAATTAGCATTTTTTTAAGGTTGCTTATGGAGGTAGGGGCAGTGGAGATTTTGTACCGTATGTCCTTGTTATCTTAAAAATATTACATAAAGAACTAAATTGTATCAAAATAGGTGGATTTAAAATAGTGTAGAACAAAACAATGTGTTTAAATTGTAATGTAAAAAAAATCACCATGGCAATTTGGCAAGCTAGGACAAAAGAGACCCTCCTTTCCAAAGAGCTACAAAGTTTTTAACAAACCTTTTTAAAAGCACTATTTTCATATCATTAAAAATTTCAGTGCTGGAATATTCTGCCCCTTATATTTATGGGGTGTATAAGTTGAAGGGATGGTTATTACATGTCATCACAAGCTTCTTATTGGGAAAAAAGCTAATGGAATGGTAGCATGGTACAAGTGCCTGAACCTGCCACCTGTGGCATGCTGTGCGGGAGGATAAATGGCTTTCAGTCATGTAAACTAGTCACAGACATTCAGATCCTTTGAACTCTAATAAGAAGTGCACACTTACTTTAAATAGTAAGTGACTAAGCATATAAATGTCTTGATCAAGTCATCAGAAAAAAAAGTGCAAAGGGGTTTTCTGTTTACGTTTTGTTATTTCTGTCTGAAATCTCTATTTTAGCCTCTGCGTCTTTGCTTTGTAATGTTCCCTGCTGAGAAGGACAGACTGGAAACACAGTAGGGATCTTTGCCTTTTAAGTTGCTCTTTGCATTGCAGAGCACTACGTGCTGGAAGAACTGGTGGATTTGTCCAGTGTTTTGCTCGGTATGAGAGGAACATGACTATTTAAGAAAGGCAGGAAACTATTATTTGATAACTTTAGCTACATTTCAATTGCAAGCACTGAAAGAGCAGACAGAAGTTTAAATATATGTCTTAAGGTACATGCATACAAATCAGTTCAGCTTTTGTGCTGTTTGTCTTTGGTCAGGAAATTCTGAGTCAGTCTTGAATGAAAATGTAAAAGGGTAATTCTGAGCTAAATTTGCCACAACTATGAATTCAGGGGTCATGTTTATCCAAAGCGTTTCTCAAAAATTCTTTCTGTCTTCTTTTCTAAATAGCATATGTAAAAGCTACTGTGGTAGAATCAAACTATAGCATGTTTTACAAGCAAGGCTAGATTTTCTTCTAATGCAAGCCCATGCCCCTTTGTCAAAGTCAAAGGATACATGCTTTGCATGCTAATTTTCTCTGCCAGGTAACTTAGCTTCCATCCACTGTTTTTTTTCAGCATAACAATCTCTAAGCGTTACGGTGATTTCTGTCCTTTAGGCATATTTTTCTTTAGAAAGTTAGCATATTGAGAGAGAGTAACAGAATGCCAGAATTTTATACCGGTATGATCCACTGCTGATTTGCCTAATTCATCAACTTTAATCTACTGTTATCTTAATTATTACCACCATTTTTTTCTCTCAGCTGCATAAAATTCACCAGATTAATACGAGTCATGTTGCTGTAGCTACACTGTGGGTCCAGTCCAAAGGCTATTAAGTCAAAGATGTTCATCATTGACTTCAGTGAAATTTGGATAAAACTCATTGTTTTCATGCTCTTTCCATCACTGCAGTACCAGAAAACTGAAATAACTGTTCCAAATATCAGTGTCTTTGGATACTTTGCATTTCTGTTCTGAGAAAATATCCAAGCAAATATGAATATAACCAAAGTAAATTCTCTCTCTGAATTTAGAATGACTATTTAACTAGCTTTGATATTTTGATATCCAATACTAAGTTTTACCTGCTGTCCCTTTTCTTTGCATACAGGTGATGGCTTTAAGAAGGTTAGACTGTCTGTTAGGGTTGGAAAAAAAGAATAAAATAGTGTGGTTGAAAAAGCCTCTGCTTTATTAGAAAGTCTGGAGGACTTTTGTGTTTTGTTTTTCATGTTGTCAGTGATTGTAAGTTTGCCCATAACCTTAGTGCTGAAATGGAGTCTTAATCTGTTTCCAGTTTTAGCGTTGTCTGATCCTCACTTCCCTCTTCCTCCTCGACTACAGCTCTCATAGTTTATCTATTCTTAAGCTGGCTGCCTAGATTGCAGTTCTCTGCTTCTTAGTGTCATTATAGGTGTGTTTTATGGGTGTTTCTGCTTTGGGAACTGTGGCAGTAGCCGAAAGAAGTATTTATAAACATCAGTTTTGGAACAGAACACATGTTTTACTCCCATGGGTTCACAGCGGGCAAATCAAACTATGAAATGATCTTATATGCGTATTTCCGATTATCCACTTTTTAACTTTCCCTTGAAAGTTTTAGTAAATTCATTTCAGCCTAGTTGTATCTCTCTGTTAAACTGGAAGAACCAATTGTGCACCTTACGCTGTCTGCTTGTCCCTACCAGCATCATCTGTCCAACAAGTGTTCCGCCTCATTCTTTCTTTGGGATCAGGGTTCACTGGTGGGTTGCAGCTTCTTTGGGTTTCTCAGATCAGGGAAGAGGAACTTTTGCTCCATTAATTCCAAATCAACTAGTTCAGATACCGGAAACACTTCAGTGGCCTTAGAGCAGAGCTTCTTCAGACTGTTTTTCCCTTGTTTTCCTAATGCCTATTGCTGGCATCCAGCTGTTTCACACTATTATGGTACTCTTCTTTGGTGAAAAACAGATGCTTCTTATATTTCCGTGGCCCTCTGTGTTAAAATATTGTGCTGACAACTGTGGAGGTATTTGTAGTGTATGCTTGAACTCATAAAAATGCCACAAAATTATTAACAGCATCAACTGAAGAAAAAGAAATTGAGAGCATAATATCTTGCTTGTGCCAACATAACAGAATGTGTAGTTTAGACACTTAACAGGAATGTGTACCTCTTGTGACAGAGACAAAAATGATCAGAATACTAGTCCATGCAAATCTAAACCTTAATTTGTTTTGTTCTGCCTTAGCTTGTGGCCGTGGGTTCTACAAATCCTCCTCACAAGATCTGCAGTGCTCCCGCTGCCCTACTCACAGCTTCTCTGACAAGGAAGGATCTTCAAGATGCGATTGTGAAGATAGCTATTATAGAGCACCTTCTGATCCACCATATGTCGCATGCACAAGTGAGTTACTCATGAATTTTATAGTAAAGGACGTTGCTTAACCAACCAGGTGCAGCCGCTTGTAGCTAATAGTTTTGGTTGGCTTTTCCTATAGTTGAAAAGTACATTTACGACAGCGAATGAAATTGAAAGACAGAGGGGGAAAAAAGTTGACAGTGAATGCAGAATCAGCATAAATATAATTCTCATGTTTGCTTGATATAACATTGGAAAACATTGCATTTTGTGTAAATGTGTAACTCATTGTAATAGACAGAATACAGGCATAGTTTTCCCATGGCTGTAAAATTGTTGTAGACAATGTGCTTTATGTGATATAAAACCAAAATGAGTAACATGAAAAATGAAAAGTAACCTGTGTGGATCTGAGCTTTGATTGAACTGCAGTTGGATGTGGCTTAACCTTCTAACTGCAAATAGACTAGCCTATACAGATTGGTGGTTCAAACAGTGGAAGTCTCCTAAATCCAAAGCAGCACCAAGTATCTCTGTAAATCATATCAGAGCTGATAACAAAGAACTAGATGCAGTTGGTGCAGTATGTTTAGAAGACGAACAAATCCCATACTTGGGAAAACTATAAAAGACAACCTTTAAGGTACTTGAACCAATCCTTTTAATTGCACAGAAGAGAAATGGCTAAAGTCAGTTGCGATAAATATACAGACAATTGTTATTCTGATGCCTTAATGGAAAATAAATAAAGCTCTTGCCAAAGTGAGTTCAAGGAAGCTTTTATGCAACTTGTACTAAAAATACTGAAATGTTTATGTGAAGAAAAATGCTTCAACTATTTTCTGTCTCGGTAATTAAAATGCTAGCTACATGTCCCACCATGGTTCTGTGCAATTACCCTGGACTTTTTTGTGTGTTACAAAGGACCTCCATCTGCACCACAGAACCTCATTTTCAATATCAACCAGACTACTGTGAGTTTGGAGTGGAGTCCTCCTGCTGACAACGGGGGAAGGAATGATGTGACCTACCGCATTTTGTGCAAGAGGTGCAGCTGGGAGCAGGGCGAATGTGTTCCCTGTGGGAGTAACATTGGATATATGCCCCAGCAAACTGGATTAGTAGATAACTATGTCACTGTCATGGACCTGCTAGCTCATGCTAACTACACGTTTGAAGTTGAAGCTGTGAATGGGGTTTCTGACTTGAGTCGTTCCCAGAGGCTTTTTGCAGCTGTCAGTGTTACCACCGGTCAAGCAGGTAAGTTTTCATCACTTATGAATCTCAACATTGTGAGACTGAACGAAATTGGGAACACGCAAACTACAGATGCAGTAAATCAGGAGCATGTTTGGTGTGTTCTGGCTCATTAATCTTTTCACCTTGCCAGCTAGTTAATTTGAGCTTACACTATTTCATGATAACCTGTCCTGTTTCTTGGCCTCAGGTTTGCTTACAGAGAGCATTCATGAAAGACTTAAAAAGACATACAGCTTTATTATTAAATAGATTTTCTTAACTTTTTTTTTTTCCTCATGTCATTGTAGGTCATTCCCTAGTGTTTGAAGATAAAAATAAGTAGATGTGACAGTCCCATACGGGCTTCCTTTCTGAATTTTTTAAACATGTATGGGAGTCTTAGGTCACTGGAAGATTATTTGGATACCTGATGCTGTTTTCAGTGTTAATGTTTTCCCTCAGGATAATGTTTCTAATTTATCTTATATTTCCAGATATTTGATTATGAGATTCAGTGAGAATGTGATGATTATTCTTTGTTTCTCCTACTTATCATAATCTGACAGGTGAAATGTCAGGGAAAATAAAATCAAACTAGCATATCACCCCAGGGGAAAAAAGAGCTTTAGTTGTCTGCATGCCGAGTGAAATAAAATTCTCTGATTTAGGTTTCTGAAATGACAAGTTGCTTGTTGATAAAAATTATAGGCCTCTGAAACTACAATAGTGCACTGTGGGCTTTAAGAGAGGATAGTAAAACTAACCTTTTATACATTGAAAAAAGATCTTAAACTGAACATTAATTGCAAGATCTGGCTTCTGAAGAAATGCCTTAAAAGAAAATATGAAGTGAATAACTGATGCTTTCTGTAAGAAGAGCTAACCAGTATTTTAAAGGATACTTCATACTTACATCTAGGAGGAAATTTTAATGACTGTGATCAAGCTATTCTTTTTTAGTGCAGTAGAAACGATCCCCTACAGTAATGCTTTGAACTGAGAACAAACTCACCATGCAGGGGCAATGAACAAATAGGAAAAACTGTAGTTATTTGTCACTTTAAAGATGGTCATCTCCAAAAAAAAAAAAAAAAAACACAAACCAAAAAAACCCAGAAAAAGACAGGCAAGAAATTTACTTCAAAACCTCTCCTCCCTCACTCCAAACCTAGGATAGTTTATACAGTTTTTAAAGTTAGGCTGGAAAAATTATGGGATATTTAATTTCCCCATAGTGCTTTCCTGGATACCAAATTTTATATTATTTTGGAACCATCCCTGTGACTGAAAGGATTGTTTCTTTACTCGTTCAATTCTTGGCATTTATGATGAGATTTTGAGCACAGAGAACTTACCCTGAAACTATTTTTGCACCACAGATTGCATTATTTTGGCACCTAGATTATTCATTTTAAAAATAATTCTCTATAATTGTTCAAACATGCACAGGTAGACAGTGTTCTGTTCTCTGTAGATGTCTGTAGAGAATGACCACATGAAGAAGATTTGGACTTTTAGTTAAACCAAATTGGCTTTATGTTATGTGCTTTGATGGTTCAGTGGCACACAGGGTAAAGGAAGAGACAGTGAAATTTGGTGTCTAGGATCACATCTCAGGAAGATGAAAAAGCCTTAATCAAAAGTTTCTTGTGTTACTCCCAAGATAATTCATTATAGTTAATTCTCTTGTGTTCTCATAGTCATGGATTTATAGTGTTTTTCGGGCCAGAAGACAAAATGTATTTATCCTGTGTTATCTTATAAGTAACACAAGTTATATGATTTTATGAAATGATCCTCACATCAAGCCCAGAGATGTTAGTGAAACTATAGCTTGCGTATATATCAGAGGCAACATCTAGACTTTACCTAGTGATTTCAAGTAATGCAAAACCCCTCACCCTCCTAGATAAGTTTTGTAAAAGCATGCAGCAGGCAGCAAGAGACCTGACTCTGTTCCTTCCCTTCTGTCCAGTTTGCTGTGGGATCATGCACAGACGAGCATTTCCCAGAGCTACAGGATCTGACGCTGTCACTGTTGAGAGAAAGAGTACTCATACAACTGAAGCTTTGTCTGTTTAGCACTTCTGAATATCAGGTTTTAAAGGCTTCCAGTGGGCATCTAAAAGGAGTATACATAGGAAACACCTTTTTTGGGGAAAAAAAAAAAAGTCTTTAAGCTCCCTTTGTTGCAGTTTTCTCTGTAAAATGAAGGTAACCCTTACTTATCCTTACCAAACACTTCAGGATTTTCTGATTAAAAGTGCCATATAAATGAAACATTTTTTTACCAGAATTACAAAATTCATGTTAAAGAAAATACAGTTTTTCAGAAAAAATGCATTCACCAAAAGAGAAGACTTTTACATTATTTTTGCAACAGCCTGTTTTAGATCCTAATACTGATTTCTTTGGTTTTTCAAGGAGGAAAATATTTTAGGTGGAACAGATTGATGACTATAATTGAACAGAAAGAGACTGGTTGCTCAAAGGAGACTGTTATGCTTTTGTGCTCCTATTTTATTTTACCATGGAGAGAAAGAAAATGTTGGATTTATTTATAGTCAAGTAAACTAGGATTCATGCAGCTCTCATTTGTTAGTGTGTGACTATTCTATACTTTTGGCAAAAATTAGATTTTCTATGCCCATATTGCATTTCGTGTGCGTAAATGTGTCTAACTAAACCCTCTTCACATGTTATTATGCGGGCACAATAGGTGGCTATATATAATTACTGGGTTCACCAGTTGCACAGAGGCTTACAGTGAGATTTTCCCTTTTTAGTTTGCGTTTAATTGAATTGATCCTTTGTGGCCATATTCACAAAATTCAAATCATTGTGTAATGATAGAAGGAAATTATTGGTAAAGGACTGGGGTTATGGAAAATATTCAGTGTTTCTTCACCCACATATAACAAGCTTCTGATGAGACAAAGAGAGCATGTCACAGAAAAGAACCAGGTGGTTGATAAAAAACTATTTATATTTGTGGAAATAATACAATAAAATGACTGCAAGTGGGTAGGTAGCATTTCACATTGCTCACATATATACATATGACAAATGGCTATTCATCCTTTGTGTTAAAAAGACTTTGTGACTAGGCTATCACTTGTCATATGGCATATTTTTTTATGCTGCAGCCAAGAACCCTGAGGCTTTTTGTTTTGCTTTGTTTTGTTTTTTGACAAAAGCATGAAAGAACTGAGCCGGAATCAGAGGTAAAAGATTAAGTGCACTAAGTCCCCCAGGACTAAGCCATCTTGTTTCATATCTTGCCTATCCAGCATCATATAAAGAATACAGGATGTCATCCCAGCGTTGCAAGCAGATCTGTATGAACCCCTACATCCTTGTAGAATTCAGATTTAAATGTAGTTAAGTCCCAGTTACAATAGGTGAATGTACTGAAGAGCTGCAGCTGGCAAACAGCTGACAAACACTACCTTTGCAAGCTTATTGAATGATTGTTTACCAAAGATAAAATTTACCACTTCTCTAATAAGATACTCACCTTTCGGTGGTACTGGTCGTTCCTTTTGATCCATCAAATTCCTTTCCAAAGTTTACATTTTTTCTATACAACACTCAAAAGGCTACTGGAATTGGGTAGGGTTCACAGCAGATGAGTATTTGTTGGATTTTGGCATTTATGCACTTTCAAACTTTTAAAAAAATATGTTTCAATAACAATTGTGTAATTTTTCTGTTGATACTTTTGCAAAGATAGTGTGTTATTAAAACTATCTTTCTACGCCCTTTCCTCTGGAATTTACCTGAATGGACAATGGACTGGTCTCTGGTAAAGGGTGATACTCATCTAACCTAGTCTGACTTTGAGAAAATTTAAGATAGGTTGGATGAATCCTAACGTTTATCAGGGTTTGAGAAAATGTAAGTATCAGTCCTGAGCCAATCTGAGTTGTCTTTGTAGTCATTGGAAAGAAAACATCATGTCCAAGGGGACACTCATCATGTCTTATTACCATACCCAAACATGACAAACAAAAGTTAAACTGTAATGCCAATACCTGTTCCTAAATGTACTCTCTGTTCTTATGCAGGGAGCACTTGCTAACACTCGTTGATTCTTCACAGCAAGAGAAAGGTGCCCCACAGCACTCTTAGGTCATGCTGTGCCTTCAGATGCACTTAATGCTGACAACCTAAAGTGGTTTAAAAACACTGATTCAGTTCCATAATCAAGGCTTACTCTTGAAAAATGTTTTTTAGTGACAATTTATTTTGTATATGTTGATTTTCTTTTCCTTTTTTTTTGTCTTAGAGTTCAGTTTTCAGACCTTTTTCTACAACAAAAAAGACCAATCCCAAAATTCACAATTAAAAAAAATCCACTGAATTATTCAAAGTTGCATTATCCCAACAACTTGAACGGAAAAGACACTGCATACTGTAAAATCACGACTATTAGCAGCAGTACCATTGATTTACATGGCAAGAAGAATGATTGAATGCATAAAAGAAACAAGCCATCCCTTATGTAAAGCTGTGTGATGGGTTCTGCCTTTCTTAGGTCCTTCTGAAGTCTCTAAACAGGGGAGACACTTCGCATTCTCCCCTACTCTACATTCTCTTTTCATTGTTGCTGCTCATCATTTTTCTCTTTGCTTCTCTTTGCATTTTCCCCAGGTCTCAACTATCTCTACTCATTTTTCTTAAATCTCCTCTTTTGTAGTCTCTGTACTACTGATCATCTATTTGTTTCCTGTTCCTTGTCAGTCTCACTTAAGCCTGGCTTTTCTTCACCAGTGAGCTGTCCCCCAGCAGAGGCAGCAATCAAGAAGATTTATGTCTGTGGCTTTGCCAGTCGCTTTGACCTCACTGTTCTAGTCCTATTCTCACCTCTCTCCTTTTCCCAGACCATTTTGGTGTCTTCCCATTCTGCCGCCAAGTTGTTTTAATCTACTTTTATCTACACCTTCCATCCAATGTTAACTTCTGGTGATACATGACAGCTTCTTACAAATAGCCTCAGTGTTCAACTTAACATTGCTTCT